TTTTTTTTTTTTTTTTTTTTTTTTTTTTTTATTTATTTTTTTATTTTGTTGCTGATTTTCCATCTTCCACGCGTTCCCGCTGTTTTCATCATTTCCATCCACTGCCATCATTCAACCCTCCCCCGCCACAAAGTTAGACTCCCTGATCAAAATCCACCACACTCCCCCTTTTTTCATCTTCACCTCATATCTTTTCTTCTCCAACCTTAGTTTCATTTCATTAAACTCTTTGTGACACTGCCAGGACTTTTGACACTGACATGACGTTTGACACTGCCAGGACTTTTGACATTGACAGGACTTTTGACATTGACAGGACTTTTGACATTGACAGGAATTTTGACATGGACATGACTTTTGACATGGACAGGACTTTTGACATTGACAGGACTTTTGACATGGACATGACTTTTGACATTGACAGGACTTTTGACACTGACAGGACTTTTGACACTGACATGACTTTGACATTGACCGTACTTTTTACACTGTCATGACTTTTGACATTGACAGGACTTTTGACATTGACAGTAAGTTTGACACTGGCAGCACTTTTGACACTGACAGACGTGACAGTCAGCACAATTTTCTTACCTGCTTCCAGCTCCTCCTTTCCCAACCCTCCATGGAGCACGAATCCTTCCTTGCTCTCTACTTCCCAACCCTCAGTAGAACCCTTCAACTCCTCCCTAGTTTACCTTACCTACACAATCCGTAGCCACTACCATCCAACCTTGTTGAACATTACCCAAAACCTGTTTAGCGCCAAACCTGGCACATTTGAGAAACCAACCTGCCTCCACCGAATCGAAGCTCACTGCCATAGAGTTTGACATTTGTAACTGGTGGTTTGAATGGCCCCCAGCCGATACATCAGCCCCGTAAACAGCAGCCGTGACGAGCAATGCTGTTCCAGCCCCGTAAACAGCAGCCGTGAACAACAGCAATGCTGTTCCAGCCCCGTAAACAGCAGCCGTGAACAACAGCAATGCTGTTCCAGCCCCGTAAACAGCAGCCGTGAACAACAGCAATGCTATTCCAGCCCCGTAAACAGCAGCCGTAAACAACAGCAATGCTGTTCCTCAAACGGTTCCCAGCATTTTGCTCCTGTAGCAGAACTCAGTTCGAAAAATAAGTTCACGGTCTCCTGGGTAACGTTAAGCCTCTCTGGGCGTCTCTCGGCCAGAGGGTACGTTCTGAAATAACCAGACGGGTGTTTAGTCGGACCCTAGATGGTAAGACCAAAAAGAGACACATTAAATAAGCGATTGATCTTAAACGTGGAGATTTGGAGCCACACATTAAATTGAGGAAGCACAACAGTATATTAATTCGGTTTACAATTTTATTATTATTTTTTTTTACCCCTTTAAAACCACAAACATGAATCGTGACAATGATGAGTAGTGCATGTGTCATCGTGATGACACAGTGCACAGTACATGTATAATCATGATTATAAACTCTTGAATTCGACATAATCAATGATGAGGGCGGCATTATCCCCCTGCCAGGTGGGGAGCCAAGCGTTGTGGGCGTTCCAGAAGTCTGTCTTGGGGTGCGGGGAGCCGTTCTGCCATGGTTTGCTGACGCCGCCGTAGTGGTTGCCGTCTGGGAAGTAGCCGTTGGTGCCGCCGACGGCAACGTTGAACATGATGTAGAACTGTTCAGGAGATGGAAGAGAGAACAAAGTACCATGATGATAATGGTAAAGATGTGACAAAGGAAAAAATACCAGATCAACTTTTCAGTTGCAAAAAACCAAGGATTTAAGGCGAAAATACCAAGTCTTTTTCGAACGTATATTTAAAAAAAAAAAATGCTTGATATTAACTTCACTTTTTTTCGTTGCTGACTAAATCTTCGTTCGACTAATTGACCTACTTCCCATGATCCTATCGAGCTGAAACTTGGCACACAGACTCGTTGCTGATGACAACACATTCCATCAAATTTTCAGCCCCCCCCCCACCCCCCCTTTCTACAACCCGTACTCCCAAAAGTCGGTATTTCTTGCTGTTTAAGCGTAAGATGAAGGAAATATTATGACACTGGTGTCATGAAATAAAATTCCCGATAACTGCGCTAAATGAGACTCTTGATAAAAAAATAATAATCGCATTTCTTTTGTTTTTATGAAATCGTTGGTGAAATAAACATGCGTTGCAAAAGCGTGTGGGTCTTTGGAATATCAATATAGTTCAGGGGCGTGGAAAAATGCGTGGTTGCGAGCTTTCCTAGAGGGTTGAGCAGTAATTGGGATTCGTGTAAGGTGCGTTACTTGTATGGGTGTTTAATCAAATTTTTCAGACCCATCACCACGTTGGACGAGATAACATTTTTATAAATAATTCTTAAGAAAAACACTTTGTTTTTCGGTGTTGCTTAATTTATAACTTGATACGGCACAGATCTCACTGGCTTTTCATGCGTTCAGCAGCTTCAGCGACTACACACGTTAAAGCGACATTATCAACTTACGTCTTGATCAAACGGCGCCATTTTGCTGCCAGATGCCCACAGATTGTTGCCCCCAAATCCACCCCTTTGCCAGAAACCACCAGCAGGGGGGACAACTGACATGATTTGTTGGTTATCGATGAATGTGCTGTCGGTGAAAGAGAGTACATTTTGAACTTAAATGACGTCATTACTCGTGTGCAAAGAGTTCGTCAAGGTATCCAGTTTTAGCATGTTCTTTGACTTTCATATGACTCCTTGCACATTGCTTTCACATCTCTTATTCGATCCAAACAAATAATACACCTACGTTATAATTTGTAACTGGCTATCTCATTTAAGTTTTTTAAAGTTATTTTTACTTGAAACTGAGATTCTAGGCCAATATATTAGTTTACTTTAAATGAAGAAATGAGTCGTTCATACTTAGCGGGCGTTGCAAAAATATTCCAAAAGAACTGCATCAATTGGTTCCCCCACAGTAAAACTTTACTTTCAAAGAGAGGAATTATTTCATAGTCATATTTAATGACGTATTTTAAAGGAAAATATATTTTGTAATGCTATTTGGCAGTTTCCATTGCTTCCAGTTGGCTTGATACCAACGAGTTGATATTAAAAGTTTTGAGCTAATTATTCTTTTTTTTAAATATCTAAATGTCTTACAGGATGTGGTCATGTGTCCACTCAAGTCTCCAAGTATGGAAATCATTATGCCAGTTAGCTGCATGTCTGAAGATGTACAATTATAATTCATTTAAGATGTAAAATAAAAAATGTAAATTTATACAACACAAAAAAAAAATATATCTTCAAAAAGCTTTTCTTTACTAACAAAAATGTTTTTTAAAAAATTAGTTGATCATCTATTTCAACGTATCATCTGCTGTACAAACATAAACATTAAATATCTATGGCTACATATTGCTAAATGTTAACTTCGATATGCTTACTATAATAAAAAAAAAATTTAGAAAACCCCCAGGTCTAAGTGTGAGATTTAGACCAATCAAATAAAGGAAAGGGAATTGTTATTAGTGAAATGGTTGATGGTATCAACTTACTTCTCGCCATGGGTGAGTGACCACCTGTTCTGGTCAGGGGAAGGGCCCCAGTGGAGTGTGCTGGACACAGCCCCTATTCCGATATCTCCAGCGTTCCCTGGAACCAATTGGAAGTAAATTCCTCAGTTAACCGAAATTCTGCTTTATAAGTTCTTGACCATTGTTGATATATATATATATATATATATATATATATATATATATATAAATAATTAAAAACTCAATTTGTAAGATTTATTTACCATCTTAACATTAGATGACCATGACCTTCAACTTACCTCTGGATTCCATGATGTCAATTTCACCAGATCGAGGCCAGCCGCCATAATGAGAGGTTTTGGGCATCATCCAAATAGCTAGATGTAAAGGAATAATTTTTTTTTAAGTACATAATTTGAAATTAAGTGATGGATCATATTTAAATCGAATTTATGAATATGCATAGATTAAAAAAGTTATTTATAGTACAGTTAATCATTTTCAATATTATATTTCTCTTTTTTTTCTAAATAAAACACTTTTACAAACGTATTTGCCTTAACTAAAGTCAAATAATTCGCTACACATACGTATTTTTTTTATTTAAAAAAAACTTACAGTCAAATCACGTAACATTACGCTCATGAACACATACCTGGCCAAAGCCAATCTCCGCGGGGAATCTTGGCTCTGATTTCCACGGTACCGTATCTTAACGTGGGAACACTGTAGACTTTGCCAGACATGACCGGGGGCAGGATCTCGGCGCCTCCATTTCTCACACAGCCGTTGTTGCCATCCTGGGTGCAAGTTCCGAACAAAGCTGTCAAAAACACACACACACACACACACACACAGATAATAACAGATAATATTGACAATCATCAGCACTGTAAGCATATTGAAAGGGTTCAATCTACTGCATATCCAATCCACAACTAACGTAATTTTAAGTTATTGGATTGTGGATACAGAGAGACTTGACCCTTAAAACAGTCTAACTGACTCAACGTAACATAACTCCAACAGCATCTCAAGTCTCATGTAAACCGGAAATGGTAATAAAAGGAACAGACTGCGGTCAGGTTCGAAAAATTGAAATGAGCGAAACAAATCATGAGACAACGTCAATGGCGTTCTTTTTTCCCCTGGTTTTCCCAAACTCTCTTTCGCTAATTAACAAATAAATATGATGCTTACACTCATGTGTCATACGCTCATACTATATGTCATACGCTCATGTGTCATACGCTCATGTGTCATACGCTCTTTTGTCAACGCTCATGTGTCAACGCTCATGTGTCATACGCTCATGTGTCAACGCTGATGTGTCATACGCTGATGTGTCAATGCTCATGTGTCCACTCTCATGTGTCAACGCTCATGTGTCAAAGCTCATGTGTCATACGCTGATGTGTCAACGCTCATATGTCAACGCTCATGTGTCAACGATCATGTGTCATACGCTGAATGGTCAACGCTCATATGTCAACGCTCATGTGTCATACGCTGATGTGTCAACGCTCATATGTCAACGCTCATGTGTCATACGCTCATGTGTCATACGCAGATGTGTGCTACAATGAAAGGAAGTACACCTACCTCGCATGTCCATGTGTCCGCTGTGTAAAAAATTCTCATTGAACCTGGAATCGCTCACGGTCGTGGTCTAAAGTAGAACAAAAAAGGTTGAAATTTATGCTTAGAATACTTAAAATACTTCTGAAGCCTGTTGAGCTAGAGGCCAAGTGATATTGTGTGAGATCTGATGCTTTATCAAATATGAGATATGTGATGTTCTGGTTCTCGGGTGCTATATTTAGATGTGACACCTGATGTTCTTGTTGTCTTATGCTATTGTTAGATTTAAGGTGAAATGGAAATGTCTTAAAATCGTTTAAAAATTAGGTAGTTAGGTGTGTATAACATATTAGTTCTGTAGTAGAGTTATTGTCCTTGTCAGTTCAGTGGTGGAGTTAGTGCGCTTACGACTTATTGTAAAATTATTCATTCAAAGATGTAGAGTGTGTATTGTAGAGGACATCATTATTTCGAGAAGACCTCTTCTTTCTCGCTACCCTCCTCATTACCATGCTTCTTGACGTCCCTGTAAGTTTGCCTGGCATTGATCCAGTCAGAGATTGTTACTACTTATGTCATGTTTTGTGTTGGTAAACATCTTGATGGTATGTTGTTGTTGATAAACATCATGATGGTATGTTAATGTTGGTAAACATCGTATTGGTATAATATGGTATGTTAGTGCTGGTAAACATTGTAATTATATGTCATTGTTGGTAAACATCATGATAGTATGTTAGTTTTGGTAATTTAGAACGATATGTTGTGCTCAACAAAGGAATTAGTTTTCCTAATTTTATGTTGTGATATGTAATTATTTTTTCAATTTCGATTCTGTACCAAAATCTGGGTACAGTCAGAGTCTGAAGTTGTATAAAGTCATCTGGGTACAGTCAGAGTCTGAAGTTCTATAAAGTCACCTGGGTACAGTCAGAGTCTGAACGATTGATAGGGTCATGTGTAGTTTCATTAAGGGCATCGTGTCCGTAATTGAGGATCATTTGATTTGATTAAGATCATGAGTTGACCAAACCTCAGGCGGCCAGGTATTTCACTTACCGGCATCAACAGAAGATGTCCGTTGCGGGCAAAAATATTTTTGGGATCATTGGTGTAGACCTGGAACTCTCCGTTCTGTGGACAGTTAAATAGACTCTCACACTTATAACCTTAAAAACATTTAAGTTGTTATATCAGTGAAAGTATAAATTCTAAGTCTAATGTTATATACAATTTTAGAACCAGCGTAAAGTTATGTTTGAAATGAATATGTCGCTTGAAAAATTTTTAATCAAAAACCATAACGCTAAGATTAACAATTTAGCCTAAAGGCTATCTTTTAGCTCTCATTAATTGTCTTATCTTGTGTGTTTTTGTTTTTCAAACCAACGAAATCTTTCTCCGTTCCCCAATCTGATGGACGTCTGATCATCAATTTATTTAGCAGTTCAATTTAAGTTCTTTGACTCCGTACACACGTTCGATGTCACAGTTCATATTTCAATAACTGAACGAACGCTACCAAAATATCCCTCCCAAACTCCTTGGAAAAACAAAAAAAAATGTTACACAGCTCTACTCACAAATCCTCCATACATGGACACTTCCGGTGTCCACTTGGAGTGGTCGTACGTGTTGAAGTCGTCTCTGAAGATGACCGCTCTGATGCGTCTGGGAGACGGGGTGGCGAGGACCTGTCTGTCTGTTTGCGGAGGAATTTTAAACATTCCTTTGACATTCAATTCTTTTTTTCTTTTTCTTTGTTTGACATGTTAATCAAATTAGAAAAAAATGACTTAACCTTGTGACACAAATAAAACTTCATAGATTGTAAGACTTTAGCAGGTTGATTTCATCGTGAGCTAGGTTAGGGTCCAGGTTGTATATTGTGTCTGTCTGCACAGATGATTGCAGGGTATTTGTATACCTGGTCTTATAATGAGTCTGTTAAAGTCTTACACTGAATTTTTTATAAAATTTTATAATGATTCTGTGAAAGTCTTACGGTTAATTTTTAATAAAGTATTATAATGAGTCTTCTAAAGTCTTATAGTGAATTTTCATAAAGTCTTATAATGAAATGTATATCTTAAAAAATCATACAATGAGTCTTATCAATTGTTAAAATGAATCTTCTTAAGCCTTACATTAAATTGTACAAAGTCTTACGTTACATCTTGTGCATACGATATTACACTGCTAACGGTACCTAGTGAGAGCGAGGCTCGGTCCGTGGTCTCCAGGATGTGGCCTCTGACGTCATAAATGACCGCGTAGGCCGTGATGGCGTCAGCGCCGTCTGCGTTGACGTCACGCGTCTGGTACAGCCAGCCCTCAGCTTTGGAAATAAAACATGAGCCACGCGTTCAAGGATTGTGATATTATTTTTTTTATTAATTTCGTTTTCTTGTCATAAATTAAAGTATTGACGGATTTAAAACATAAATGGCAGATTATTATAATTTTTGTAATACTCATTTTATTTTAAACTCTCCAACCCAACTCGCTCTCGCTTCGTTGAATGACAGGAGTTTCTAAAATTAGAAACAAAACTCCCGGCCAATCAGAATTCATCAGTGATCATCAATTTATCCTTTTTTTTTTCGATCACCTTATCAATTATGTTTTAACATTGTCTCGTTTTTGTAATGGAGAAGAATCAAAGGATTTTAAACTATTATTTTTATCAAAGTCTCCTGACAAAACTAGTGTAAGGAATAAAGCCTCAGGTCAAATTTAAATAATCTTTGTGCGTTTTGCAAAGCGAGTACATTTGAAATTCTGTCCTCGAGAAATAATGAGAGACACATCTTATCAACTGTTGTCTTCTGAACGCATCGTTCCTTGTGCTGTTTTAGGAACGCATCGTTCCTTGTTAGGACTTACTCGTGTGGGTTCCCCGGCCCTGGAAAGCCACATTTTTGATGACGTAATGAAAAACGACGCTTGCTACATCTTTGTCAGAACCTGGAAGACAGGAAACAATTCAAAATGAATGTGCTGAACATGGTCACTCAGATATTTTCTGTCATTAATTGTTTCTTTTCGTTTACTGTTGATGAGATTTTGAAATTTATAATTTTGTTAAAATGCAAATTTGTTTTTTGTTTTGTTTGTCTGTTTGTTTTTTAATGTTTAATTTCTTTTTTTTTTATTTAGACTTTTCCGTTCGTCGTTTTGTTCTTTTTGTCCATGAAATGATCCAATTGGTTTTTACCTGGTAATGTCAATGCCAGAACAGGTGGGTTGTACTTGATGTGCACCTGGGCAGCGAACACCACACCGATCGCAGCTAGAACCAGAAGAAGAATCTTGATCATGGTCGCTGATAAAATAAATTCAACATTATTTTGAGTTTGAGAAAAATGCGATTTCTTCTCCTATGGGAAATTTTAAAAAAAATTAATTCAAGAATATCTGCCTGCGTGGACGTACTAAGAAATAATAAAACAAGGTAAGTGGAAACTTGAAATACAAAGGATAATACACGAAGAACGTTTCGGCCAAGAGCCTTCTTCAGCAGACAGGACAGATGAAGAAATAACTAGAAATAGACAGTAGTTAAAAAAAACTAAGTGTTCGTCATTAATGTTATCGCCGGAAGTTGGGTTTTCCGAAACAAAGATTACGTAAAGTAAACGATTTAAATGAACAAAAATATTTTGGAAATGTGTGAAACTATAAGAAAAGAAGAACAGACATGCGGGGAAATTGAGTATTGCTAGTTGGAGAGTGTTTCATTGTTTCCATATGGTGACGTTGTGCCGAAGAGCTGAATTAATTCGCATTAATTGAGACGTATGAGGACCTCTTAGGACGTGTTCTGAGACCTGTTTTGTGTCTAATAAACTAGAAGAAAATGTCTTCATTTATTTCAGTCGTCATCAGTCTGATTTCATTGAGTTTGTTGATCGACCATTGTATGATCATGTTTTTTATTTCTTCAGTAGGCACCGTCTTTGGAAGGGTGATTGGACGAACAGACCTGATAAGTTATGGGCTTAATTTAAATAAGTGACCGCATTCCGATTAGCCCTTGTGTTTAAAAAGAAAATAGCCCAGATTTTATTATTATTAATTTTTTTTTAAATTGTGAATAAATTACACACTTTTTTTTTAAAGTTCAAGGTCGCGATGAGGGGAACATCGCCAGAACCAGCAGATTGTGACGTAAACTTTTTTCATTTCCAGGTCATTCTTTTCATGTGAGCATCTTATTTCTCTTTATCTATTTGAATTTCCGTAGATTCTCGTTATAAAACCACTTTGTTCATAAGGCAAAGCCCAATTCTTGGCCAGAAAAAACTGAAAAGTGTTTTTAAAAAAAATCTGGCCATAAGCCGACCCCCATAAATAAATGCCTGCATTACCACCACAGTTCTAAGAATAACTAGGACGAGATACAATGGCAAACATTTTTTACATTGTAATCGATACCAACGACTTATGTTCCATTACTTTGTGCGAATAGTGGCGCCATCTTACGGTAAATTCGTTGTACCAATGAATAATTTAAAGCTCATCCTAGACTATGACCTCGACAATCTTCGTTAGACTATGACCTCGACGATAATTCGTTAGACTAGGACTTGGCCTCCCGATCCCATTGGTATCCCAATCCCGATGGGATCCCTGAAAGATCTCTCAAAAAAAGTCTGCTTTAGACCTAGTTAATACGGCCCATACCTTTCAGAATAGGTAAACCAGGGGCCCTCTAAATTTCAAGACATAAGAAAGCCAATTTAGACTGAGCTCTGAAGAAAGTCTAGCAGCTGTGATTATAGTCATTGATTAATAGGTATATTTAAAAACCCAACCTCACGAGGTTTATAAAAGTCTCAATAGAACATTCAAGAATGATATATTTAGATTTCGTTTATCTATAAAAAGGAAAAAAATAATAAAATTTAGGCCTACTAAACTCAAAAAAATTATGTCCTTCAATAATGTACACCAGAATACTAGTGGTTCAAATGCTGGACATCAAATATACAGAGCTGGGTTGGTGGGGGGGGGGGGACACATATGGACTACAAGTTGAGTACGACAGCGTATTTTATATAAGAATTTATTTTGAGGTGATAATGGCTTTAATTACTGTTTACTATGAGTGTCTCAAACAGCTGATTGTCAACAAGTCCACCGACGACTCCGTGTGAAAATTAAACTAAAAAGTTTGAGAAATATCGCGATGAAGTGTTCTTGTGAAAACTAACTTATGTGTCCCACTACGACACAGCGTGTACTTTGTGCCATAAATGTGTCCCACTACGACACAGTGTGTACTTTGTGCCATAAATGTTTCTCGCAACAATACAGTGTACTTTGTGCCATAAATGAGTCCCGCAAGACACAGCGTGTACTTTGTGCCATAAATGTGTCTCGCAACGACACAGTGTGTACTTTGTGCCATAAATGTGTCTCGCAACGACACAGCGTGTACTTTGTGACATAAATGTGTCTCGCAACGACACAGTGTCTACTTTGTGCCATAAATGTGTCCCGCAACGACACAGTGTGTACTTTGTGCCATAAATGTGTCTCGCAACGACAGTGTCTACTTTGTGCCATAAATGTGTCTCGCAACGACACAGCGTGTACTTTGTGCCATAAAAGTGTCTCGCAACGACACAGTGTGTATTTTATGCCATAAATGTGTCTCGCAACGACACAGCGTGTACTTTGTGCCATAAATGTGTCTCGCAACGACACAGTGTGTATTTTGTGCCATAAATGTGTCTCGCAACGACACAGCCTGTACTTTGTGCCATAAATGTGTCTCGCAACGACACAGTGTGTACTTTGTGCCATAAATGTGTCTCGCAACGACACAGTGTGTACTTTGTGCCATAAATGTGTCTCGGAACGACACGGTAATTACTTTGTGCCATAAATGTGTCCAACAAAGACACAGCATATACTTTTCTGGTAATTAACGGTGGTTTAACGATTTTAATTAACTTCCCTACCTTTAGAGAAACAGTTTAATTAGCCCGCTGACAACATTTGGCTGGTTTTTATAGATAGGTGTACATTCTTGCCGGCGGTCCTCGAGTTTTTGCGGTTTGAAGATGTCCCTGTAACACAGTCACCAGATAACATAGATGTAAAACAACTTTCAAAATCTGACATAAATTAAAAAAAATTACTAAGACAGGAAGTTGAATTTTGAGTGCATGAAACAAATTCATCTCCATACTCTCTATTGACCTTTCAATAACTTAAATTTGAGAGTCCCTGACCACATGTTTTAAAAACAAAGCTAAGAATAGACCGTTTTAAAATGATTCACCGGGCATGGACGGTCACGTGACTTAAAGGACGCACTTGACCTAGTCCCTTTTAAATAAGCAGTTGTTTTCTATGTTTTTTGCAAACACGGTTGCGGAACTTGTTACAGTTGAACTTACAACGAGAGCCGCGGTCAATTTATCATGGATAGAGAAAACTGCCCGATCACCGCTAGCTTGCCCGACTGTAACCTTGGTGACGGACGGAAATGTCTCGATGTCATGACGGTGCGCCGTCTATCAGTATTTTTTCAAAACATTTCAGTTTGCCGGATATGTTACCCTTTGCACCAGGGTCCAGGGGCCACAATGCCTCCCCCCGACGCTTGAGAAATTATTTCCCCTCGGTCAAATAGTCTTATCAAAACATCCAAATTGTGGATAATCCAAAATGCACCTCTTGGTTTTTAAATAATCAGACATTTTCTGGTTAGAGAAAAGCCATCGGGGTGCTCGATTTCTGCCCTACTTCCCGACAAAAATGGCAGCATTGCTTGCCCTGACGACCAACTTTGGTGACGATATATACTACTGCCCGCCCCCCTTTTTACGTCACTGGTGAGTGGTTGGAGCCAGGGGGCATTTTTAATCCCCCTCCCCATACTCCGAAACAAATCATTTTCATTTATTAATATAAATAAAAGCCCGCTAGTCTGGCGTTCGGGGACAAATGCCCCCTATGCCCACCTTAGCTACGCCTCTTTTCTATTGGCCCTGCCCCAAGAAAATCTGAAATAGCCCCCCCCCCAGGAAAGAAATTGTCTAAACGAAACACTGGTCCCAGTACCGCAGTGGCCCCGGAAAAAGGGGGGGGGGCAAAAAGAGTAGTGAAGCGGTGTTTGTGATTTGGAAATGTAGGACCAACATGAGCATTATGATATGCTTCTGCACCAGCCAGTCGTTTTTCTATTGGCCCTGCCCCAATAAAATCTGAAATAGCCCCCCCCCCCAGGAAAGAAATTGTCTAAACGAAACCCTGGTCCCAGTACCGCAGTGGCCCCGGAAAAAGGGGGGGGGGGCAAAAAGAGTAGTGAAGCGGTGTTTGTGATTTGGAAATGTAGGACCAACATGAGCATTATGATATGCTTCTGCACCAGCCAGTCGTCATTTATTATATAGTAATTAGTCATATAATAAAGACGCATCTGTTAGTTCTATTTTGTATATTATGTAATGTCACGTGATCATCTACTTTAGCATATTTATAATTACATATTAATATTCGTGGGCTGAACCACCTGTGTTTATGTAATCATTTATAAAGTATGTGGCCATATATTATATTCATAGAAGTGTACGGGTGAGAGGGTCCCATTGTATGTAAGTGTGAGTGTGGTGATATTCGATTATCCACGCAATACGTAACAGTCAGCCCGGGGATTTTCAGAGATCATTAATCGATATCCGGTATCGGTTTTAGGCCAACTTGACTAATACTGTCTAACGCTGTCTGATAGTGTCTCACACTGCCTCACTCTGTCTAAAGATGTCTGATAGTGCCTCACACTGCCTCACTCTGTCTAAAGATGTCTGACATTGTTTGTCCATTTATGAAAATCTGTTAAAAATATCTCACACCACGGTCTGAAACTGTCTGACACTGTCTAAGACTTTCTAAAACTGTCTGACACTGTCTGAAATTGTTAGACACTGTCTGACACTGTCTGAAATTGTTAGACACTGTCTGACACTGTCTTAAAGTGACTGAAACTGTGTGACGCAGTCCGAGACTGTCTGAAACTGTCTGATACTACCTGGCACTGTCTATCAATGTCGTTCTCTACCTATCTAACTCACACTGTCAGTCTATCTGACACTGTCAGTCTATCTGACACTGTCAGTCTATCTGACACTGTCTCAAATGCCTTAGAGTCTCTGAAACTGTTTCACACTGTCTCACATTGCCTTACATTGTCTGACCACAGACCAGCCTCAGTTTAGCATCAATTACGCGCCTGTCTGCATAAATATAGACAGTCTAGCCTCAGTCTGAAACTCTATGTCTTACCTCTCAATGTCTTACACTGGATGCATTTCTTAATATCTATTATCTATAATTACAATTTGAAAATTCAATAGACAGAATAGGTGGGGGGGGGGTCGGTACGATTAAAACGATTTCACACGGCTGTGCAGGGGTGGGGAATATATCTGGGCTGTCCTTAATGTTAGACACAATAAAAAGCATCCAAACAATGACAAACATGGACACAATGTCAAGACAATGACAAACATGGACATAATGTCAAGATGATGACAAACATGGACACAATGTCAAGACGATGACAAACATGGACACAATGTCAAGACGATGACAAACATGCACACAATGACAAGACAATGACTAACATGCACACACAGAAACGTTCATGAACGCGAAGTGTGTGGCAAGTTGAGAGAAATGATTCCAGGATCTCATCCAGCTAGATGACCAAGAACACCGGTGGACTCGGTTAGTGTTCTATGTAGGGCCTACTGCGGGACTTAGTTTGAAGGGTTTTAAATTAAAGTGGAATATGAATAGATGATACAGCTTGAAGTCCTGTTCACTTAATCCTGTTTCACCAACACTCGTCCGGTATTATTATATTGACGTTATGTATGTGAGTGTGGCGTGAAGGTGAGGTGCCCGGGACTTGCCCTTCCTTCATGACCTGGACTCACCCGGTACAGGGATCCCTACTGGGTAAAGTCAAGGGTTACAAATATGTAACGATAAATCAAATTTAAAAAAATGAAAAGACAAAGGCATCTCGAAGGGATAGTATAGGAGCGTGACTAACCCTCAGACCATACGACTATCTAATAACTCCGAATATTGTGTTGGCTTGATTAGGAACTATCAGTAGGCTTAGATGGATTATAAATATACTACGGCAAAGTGGTCGTCCACTCTGTCATTCGCCATTCCCAAGCGCCGGCCCTACAGACAATCGCTTATTAATTTCGAAAGTATTATTATTATAATGATTGGTTTTATATAGGGTGGTACCCCAGCACCGCACTGTGCATACAATTTAACATAGAGTGGCACCCCAGCCTAGGGCTGGGCTCACTGCAATTGCAGATTTCAGCAACGAGACCAAAGGCTCATTGAGATTTGGAGAACAATATTGATGAAATATGCTGGGGTTTCAGATTAATTTTAAGTAGAGTTATGTCTCTTGCGAACAGGAAACGAATTTATTTTAAAAAATCAGTTTTGAAATTGTTCAGCCATTGAAGACCAAATAAAAGTTATTTTGATTAGGAGAAATGAAAACAACTTCGCAAGAAATTACTTTTTTTTTTTAAATTACGAAATTTTTTCCCCCTATAAATAATATTAATCTGGATTCGCCGTTCTAAAATAATATATTTCACGTTTAAGGGACAAACTTTTTCTCATTTTAGCTTTAAAAAAAAAAACTATGTATTTAACGGGCCTAGTGTTATATAGATAGCTCATTGGTATGTACGGGTGGTATTGTATAGATTGTTCCAGATGCCGTTCGGAAAGATAAATATATGTGAATATACAAGGCCTTAACCTCTCTCCATGGCTCCTACCAGGCAAGTGATCTGTCTGATCGTGTGTCAAAGATATTCTGAGCATCACAGTCTCCTGCACTAAATTATAATTCATATTGCTTTGCCAGAGACGATTGAAAGGCCTAGTCAAATCTATCAAGGCCATCGAGGCAATTCATTGTGTTTGTGCAACCTACAGATTAGGGCACAGTCTGTGACCGGTGAAGTAAACAGTTTCGTGGGTGTGGCAGACTCATTGTGGGGTGTGGCAGACTCATTGGGGGTGTGACAGTCTCATCGTGGGGTGTGGCAGACTCATTATAGGATGTGGCGGACCCATTGGGAGGGTGGGGCGTGGCAGTCTCATTGGGGGTGTGGCAATAACATCGGGTTTTAATGAGGGTCGTCAATAGATGTCTTTTACAGAGATCTTATGTTGTTTATTTTATCACTTGGACTAATAAGTTATGAAGATGTGTGAACCGTTCTAGAAGTTCAGAATGAACACTGGAGGTATCAGCGTCTTGTTTCTTTGTTTGTTCGTTCGTTTTATTTATTTATTTGGGGGGGGGGGGAGGGGGGGTAGTCGATGAAGAATCGATTCCCTAAGAAGCTCCCTGAGCCTGGAGATAGCATTGGCCTAAAATAACAAGTGGCGGCACTTTAAAAAGATTGGGGGAGGAGGGGTAGTCGATGAAGAATCGATTCCCTAAGAACCTCCCTGAGCCTGGAGATAGCATTGGCCTAAAATAACAAGTGGCGGCACTTTAAAAAGATGTGTATATATATATATATCATACTTCTTTATCATGCTATGACATTTATTATGCTGTCACACGTGACATTTATCCTCGTGTGTTATACTATGGCATTGTTTGTCATTTCACTCATTATATCTGTCGTTGTGTGTCATACTATGGCACTGTTTGTCATGCCACACATGACATCGGTCCTTATGTGCCATACTATGGCATTGTTTGTCATGTCACTCATGATTGCAGTAAAATTACAACTGTCGTGAGGAACGGCCTTCACCTTGTCCCAACCAACTCAATAAATACATAAGGAGAGGGTCGGGGGGCCAGCTTCCCCCTCACTATTGTACTTCACCACTATTATGATGAAAAAATCATCCAACCACTCCCCCACATTTTCCCTCAACCTTGTTTGCAGGTGAGAGGAAATGACAAAAGTCACACATGCGTGTAATGGGATACACGGGCAACAATGACTAATGAAAACAGACAACACAAATACCTTCGGTGAGCGCGACATGGTCAGACACAGAGACAGGTAGCATCACGTCAGCTGGTTTAATACCGACGTAGCAGTCGCATCCTCCAGGTACGTCTCGGAAAATTTCTAATGGCTTTTTCATATATTTCATTTTTATCGGAGGTGGAGGGGGGGGGGGGGGGGGGGGGAGGCGGAGTAAGAATACGACACACAAACAAAAACATCTCAGTGTTCTTCCATGACGTTGACGGTTGGGCTCAGGTGTGACCACACAAAAAATCGCATCCTCCAGGTACGTCTCGGAAAATTTCTAATGGCTTTTTCATATATTTCATTTTTATCGGAGGTGGAGGGGGGGGGGGAGGGGGGGGGGAGGCGGAGTAAGAATACGACACACAAACAAAAACATCTCAGTGTTCTTCCATGACGTTGACGGTTGGGCTCAGGTGTGACCACACAAAAAAGAGATCGTCTTACTGGTTGTTGGTGCGGTTTGCATACAAGTCATACAGTCATACAAGTGATACAAGTCATACAAGTCATACAAGTCATACAAGTTATACAAGTCATACAAGTCATACAAGTCATACAAGTTATACAAGTCATACAAGTCATACAAGTCATACAAGTCATACAAGTCATACAAGTCATACAAGTTATACAAGTCATACAAGTCATACAAGTCATACAAATTGCTGGTTCATGTTGGTTTGGATTTATTGGGACAAGTACGGTAAATCTATCGAATTTTTGTTTCTAAACATTGCAATTTAAAGCTACTCCATTTTCTTTGCTTTTTTTAAATATAAAAAAAACAACAACACACGACCAGTTTATTCAGGGTCAGTCTGAAATCCTCTTAAGATCCTTGATAGTAAATACCACCAGGGCCGTGCTTGGATGTGGGTAAGGGGCGAAGACCCCCGGGCAACATTTTCAAAGACACCAAATTCGTCGTTTTCACGCAAATTTAACTTTATTAATAAATAATTTTTGGGATGTGGGTGAACTTCAGTCTTTGCCCCCAGAGGCAACTTTTGCTTGACACGGTCCTGAATAGCGCATGACGGCCCTGAACAGTAAAGCCCCGGCCCTGAATAGTATTACCAACATTTTTTCTCTTGTCCTTTTGTTTTTCAGAGCATGGGTTTCAGATCACCATTTCAGTCGGTGGCTGTGGCAGCTGTTGCAGTATTATTTGCACTGAGTGAGAAATTAGAGTTTGGGACATTGTTTTCTGGTTGTGCTACTCGTGTCGTCGAATGTTTTGTCTGTCTTTGTCAAATACACCATAATAACTGTTTGAATGTCTTCTTTGTAGTGGCGTACAATAATTTATATTGTTACAGTTGTTTGAATGTCTTATTCGTAGTAGATTACAATATTTTATATTGTTACAGATTTTGAATGTCTTCTTTGTAGTGGCTTACAATAGTTTATATTGTTAAACTTGTGTAGAATGTCTTCTTTGTAGTGGCTTACAATAGTTTATATTGTTACACTTGTGTAGAATGTCTTCTTTGTAGTGGCTTACAATAGTTTATATTGTTACAGATGTTTGAATGTCTCCTTTGTTGTGGCTTACAATAGTTTATATTGTTAAACTTGTGTAGAATGTCTTCTTTGTAGTGGCTTACAATAGTTTATATTGTTACAATCATTATTGTTTGAATGCCTTATTTGCTGTGGCAGATTGTAGTTTGAACTGTTGAGGAAGTTATGGCTCTCTTGTTTGTATTTTGTTTTCTTTTTAAAGCTGAACGTAATCATGAAATAACAGCGTGTGTATTATGTAAATTTTTATATTAATGTCTGTATGATTTGAACAAATCTTTTTGTATGTATTATTTGAGTTTTTGTGTATGATAATGTTTGTCACATCAACAAAATAACCTACAACATATTCTTCCTTAATTACGTGTTAACTTAATTTCTTTTTGCCTTATTTGAATCATGCCCTCATCTAAAAATAGTAACAAAATCATTTTCGACCAATTTAAAGTGGATTACAAAAAAAAATTATTTACAAAATAAGGTGAACTTTTATAATTTTAAAAGAATGGGAGAAAAAAAACCCTAGTCACTATGCCTTGTTAATTGTTAATGTCAGTTTGCGTGGAATCGAGTGGAGTGTTATATCCCCATTGGTCACCCACCTGAGTTGGGCAAACTAATTGAGACGAATGTCATTGTACGGTGCTCGCACTTAGATCAAATGTCCATTGGAGGCACCCATAGGTAGACTCAAAGAGGCATCCATTGGTGACACCTACAGGCGTTCATTGGTGACACCGAAAGGCGTCCATTGGTGACACCCACAGGCGTCCATTCGATGACACCTACAGGCGTCCATTGTTGACACCTACAGGCGTCCATTGGTGGACGAAAACAGGAGTCCATTGGTGGACGCAAAGAGGCGCCCTTTGGTAGACGCAATAAAATATTTGTGCATTTGGAAAGCATCACAGATGACATCTGGCTTTTGTCCCCCATCTTCTCTTGCCTAGTGTCTGCCGCACCTGACCAGGCCCTCGGGCCGACGTCCTTTCGACGTCGTGACCTAACAACTTTATGCCGGGCGATGGAGGAGTACACGGCCAGAATGTGTCTCAAGTACCTCAACTACGGGTGCTTCTGCGGACTCGGGGGTACAGGGGACACTCCCAAGGATGCCGTGGATCGGTGAGTGCATGATAAGTACTGTGGCATCATTGGTTTTATCAGTTCATTAATGAAATGTGGATCAGTGAGTGTATGATAAGTACTGTGGCGTCCATGGTTTGATCAGTTCATTAATGAAATGTGGATCAGTGAGTGCATGATAAGTACTGTGGCATCAATGGTTTTATCAGTTCATTATTGAAATGTGGATCAGTGAGTGCATGATAAGTACTGTGGCATCATGATTTTCTCAGTTCCTTAATGAAAGCGAATATATTTTGCATTACCGCATATCATTTGAGGCATTCACCAATTACACGCAACGTCCCATGATGACACCATGTCAATGGGCATGTCATCTAATCTTTCACATTCCCCCAGTCATGTCATCTAAAATATGTCACGGTGCCCCAGGTCATGTCATCTTATTTGTCACGTTCCCCCAGGGTCGTGTCATCTATTCCGTAGGCTCCCCGTCATGCCAACTATTCTGTCACATTCCCCCAATCATGTCATATAATCTGTCACGTTACTCCAGTCATGTCATCTAATGTCACCTTCCCCAATTCCTGTCATCTAATCTGTCACGCGCCCCCCCCCCCAGGTGCTGTTATCATCACGACAAATGCTATGGCAGCGTGGAAGGCTGCAAGGTCGCCGTCCATGTCGTCATTAACAAGATGAAATGTTCTGGAGGGAACTGTACCTGCACAGGTACAACAAAAACAGCACTTTCTTATATTCTTATTATATTGTTATATCAAATATTTTAACAAAGAAACCGACAAATACATATGTCAATCAATTAGATAACCTTCATTATGTGTCTTGTATTTGTCAAATCAATTTTTTTAAGATATAAAATTAATTGGAAATTAGTTTTAAATTATTAATTTTTACAACGTTAAAACTCTGCTGTTTAAAAATAATGCACGTATCACCGGGTTTCTCGTAGAGTTATGTTTCAACTGTTTAAGTCAAACGAGCATTTTTACGTTTATCTGTTGCTGACCTCGAATAATTGTCATAAATTATAAGATGCATAATAATTATTTCATTTTATTATCTTTTATATAAGAAAAGTTCAGTAACTTAAATTATTTTAGCATCATTTCTAACCATAAGTGTGGCTCAGTAAGACAATGTGCCCNCCTAACTGGGGGGGGGGGTGTGGGGGAAAACCTCAACAAGTTTCCCTTTACGATGGACGGGTGTGTGTGTGTGGGGGGGGGGGGCGCATCTAATTGAAAACTTCCATTTCGATAAAGTGGGTCCGAGAAAGTTTCAGGGCCGCAAGTAGTTCAGAGTGGCACCAAAAAAAACAATATTGTCTTCAGATGAGGTTGAAAACATAACTGGTTGATACCTGAGATAAGTGCATCAGAGCGCCATCAGCTCAGATTGCCATCAGTTCAGATTGCCATCAGTTCAGATTGCCATCAGTTCAGATTGCCATCAGTTCAGATTTCCATCAGTTCAGATTACCATCAGTTCAGATTGCCATCAGTTCAGATTGCCATCAGTTCAGATTGCCATCAGTTCAGATTACCACCAGTTCAGATTGCAAAAAAAATACAGATTGCCACAGAGCATTTGACAATCAGAACAGGCAGCTTCACTGCTACGTGGTTATATCTGGAAAGAAGATGACAACAACCCGTGTTATGGCACTGCTTGTGACGGCATGAACCGACGTCTAATAATGTATGTCAGTAAGAAAATATGGCTCTCAGTCAGTAAGAAACTATGTCCCTCATTTAGTAAGACCAGTCAGTAAGACCATATGGCCCTAACAAACTGCCAATTTCTCCTCATATTTCAGACGAAGACCAGACCGGATGCCCGTACAAGCTCTGCCGGTGTGACGTAGTCTTCGCTGAGTGTCTGAAGGAGGCGGTGTTCAATAAATCTTTGACAAACTACAACAAAAAGAACTGCGTCTAGCAGGTGGACCTGAGTACTGCGTCCAGCAGGTAGACCTGAATACCGAGTCTAGCAGGTAGACCTGTGAGCGTGTTCGATGCCAATGGATCATAAGAACGAACACCGGATTTGTGAGAGACTTTTTTGTAGCAATTGAAAACATTTTAAAATTCTAGTTTGAAACTCTGTTAACACTGTTATTCCGTTGAGAGTAGAAAATATATATATATATTTCTAAAAAAGAAAAACAACTTGATTTAAAAATAGAAAATTGGTGATTTTTTTTTTTTTTTTTTTTTTTTTTTTGAATTTATTTTCAGGATTTCAAATAAAAAAATTGCCAAAATATGACCATCTTAAATTTGATTCATTTATCTAAGAGGAAAAAAACCATAAGCATAAAAAAAAAAAATTGGTGATTTTTTTTTTTTTTTTTTTTTTCTACGAATTCATTTTCAGGATCTCAAATAAAGACATTGCCAAAATATGACCATCTTCAATTTGATTCATTTACCTACGAGGATAAAAACCATAAGCCAGTGTCATAGTCATATTTTTTTCAAAGGGACTAAACCACAATCCTGTGTCATCAATGAACTCTCTCCACTGCATAGCTTATAAATTCAGAACATTTATAGGCGGATCTAAGACAGGCCCGCACAAACTACGGCCCGCCAGCACCCACTTTGAGGCCCGCGACGTAACGAAATATTCCTTATTCTTATTATTTTCTGAATAGCTTTACCCCCTGTCCTATTTTCGTTTGGCCCGCACAAGTCTTTCATGAAGTATTACAGCCCACCTTACATTTTGAGTTGTGCACGCCTGGTCTAAGACACTTAAATGGGTTAAAGGACAGAAAATTGAATTTTGACCTAATTTTTTTTACCGAACCTACTGCTGGGTTATGGGGGAAGGATAAGTGATGGCATGACATGACATGACATCCATTACTAAAGTTTTGATGGTTAACGCTAGTACTTTTATATTTGGATTCAAATCAACCACAAATGAAGGTATCCTCATTCTTATATAATTATATGTAACTAGCTGATATCCCCGGCTTTCCCCGGGATAACACTGCCTCTGTTGTAACATAACAGCCTGGCCCATAAGGTGAAATATAATTTATTACTTTAGGAGGGCCCTATACAAAAAAAAAAAAAGCTTAACAACTGTACATCGATTGAGGGCTATGGTTCATAAATTGCAACCGAGATCCCTAAAGGGGACAGTTAACCTTAAAAAGTTTTATCATAAAAATATTTTTTCCAAATTATAGGCATTGCTTTTTGTGATTATTATATTGGTGCCCCAGTCTAATAAGAAAATGACATGTTGGTGCCCTAGCCTTATTAGAAACTTACATATTGGTGCCCAGGTCTCATAAAAAATGGACATATTGGTGCCCCAGCCTCATAAGAAAGTGACATATTGGTCCCCAGCCTTATGAGTAAGTGACATGTTGGTGCCCCAGCCTCATGATTAAGTGACATTTTGCTGCCCCAGCCCACATAAATACATGCCATATTGGTGACCCAGCCTCATAAGAAGGCTACATACCCTTTTACAAAAGGATTAGGTTCTACTTGAACGCAATCTCTTTCTTATTATCCTCTATCTTGTAAAAGATTGTCCAATCTAAATGCTGCAGATACACATTCGAGGTAACGTTTTAAAGGGGTCTCGTTAAAATAGTTTAAATATCCCCAAGATATAACCTTTTAAATGACTAAAATTGGGCACACTGCCCTCCTCCCGCCCCCCCCCCACCCCAAAAAGAAAAGTTGAAAAGCCTTATGTTACTTTTATGAAAATATATAACAAAGACTCCAAACCAACCCATGCGTTAATTGAGATAGGTCTAATCAAGTGGATGAAATATCCATAAAATCACAAAGAATTTTTCCCTGAATCCGACGCTTAAAAATAAAGCTCATTTCATTGGGGAAAAAATGAATTCGTGGCTCTAAGAAGTCTAACTGTGTGCTGACTATACAATTCAAAGAACAGTTGACTTCTGTTATCCTTCCACGCTCTTTAAATGTATTCATTGTCTTGATTTTTGGTGGCTCCTTTGTACCATCTTTGTAGTGGCTCCGATGTACCATATTTGTAGTGGCTCCGATGTACCATATTTGTAGTGGCTCCGATGTACCATCTTTGTAGTGGCTCCGATGTACCATATTTGTAGTGGCTCCGATATACCATATTTGTAGTGGCTCCGATGTACCATCTTTGTAGTGGCTCCGATGTACCATATTTGTAGTGGATCCTATGTACCATCTTTGTAGTAGCTTCTATGTACCATATTTGTAGTGGCTCTGACGTACCATATTTGTAGTGGCTCCGATGTACCATATTTGTAGTGGCTCCGATGTACCATATTTGTAGTGGCTCCTATGTACCATATTTGTAGTGGCTCCGATGTACCATATTTGTAGTGGCTCCGATGTACCATATTTGTAGTGGCTCCGATGTACCATATTTGTAGTGGCTCCTATGTACCATATTTGTAGTGGCTCCGATGTACCATATTTGTAGTGGCTCCGATGTACCATATTTGTAGTGGCTCCGATGTACCATATTTGTAGTGGCTCCGATGTACCATATTTGTAGTGGCTCCGATGTACCATATTTGTAGTGGCTCCGATGTACCATATTTGTAGTGGCACCGATGTACCATAAATTACCGTGTATAAAACGATGCACGTCTAAAATGTAAGACCCTAATATTTCTCTTGTAAAAATCCAAAAAGTTACGTCCCAGGCTGATGCGACCTGTCAATCTTGTTCAATAACATAAGTAATAATACCATTATTATAAGATAAAGTGTGGAAAAAAATTACAAAAGTTATTGTAATTGTAATAGGCCCGGTCCATAGATAGTGACAGTTCATAGCAATAGGCCCGAGAAGATGAAAAAAAGATTGAACTCATGAAATATGATCATGTCCGATGGCTGCACTAAATGAGATTCTCAACAGCTAAACAAACATTATCTCAAATGCGTTCGGTGCGTATTATGTTCTGTTTTTGGCTGAAGTAGTTGGTGCAATAAATCTGCGATGTAGCAGCGGGTGAGGTATTGGAATTTTAATGTCAAATAAAAATTAAAAAGAAAAAACCAACATATAAAGGGAGTTTTTAGGTATTGTTTCATTTCTCTTTGAGTTGTCCCCCTTAGACTTTCATCATGGGTGTGGCGCAGCAAGGGCAGCGAGGGTTTGCCCTCAGTGTTGCCTTCTCTGGGAATTATGGGGGTTTGTGATCCAGACCACTTGTTAACATTGTTGTTGGATAACACTGGTGATTACAATAATGGTAATACTTTTTTGTTTTAATTAATGAACATCCGATCCGCTGCTCTGACGTCTCCAATACATATTATTTTTAATTGATGCAATTGTTTCGGAGGTTCTTTATGGTTCTTGGATTCAAGTAATGGTAACATTGCTATGTATACTTCCGAAAAGTATATCTTGCCGTATGTTCGCCAGTGCTTGTCGTTTTAAGACTAAGTTTTAGAATCGGTCTTATTGAATTGGGCGAAGCTTTCCCGTCGAATTCGATCACGAAAGTGATAGTGCTACAACACCCAGATGGTAATGTATGCTTATGAATTCGATCACGAAAGTGATAGTGATACAACACCCAGATGGAAATGTGTGCTTGTGAATTCGATCACGAAAGTGATAGTGATACAACACCCAGATGCCAATGTGTGCTTATGAATTCGATCCATGTCACTTGTTTTGAAATCTTTTGGCAAAAGTTTTGTCAGATTTCTACAATTTTTTTTTTTTTTTTTTTTACAGCAACTATTCATTTTCCGTGAGAAAAGATAGAACTAGTTCATCCCATCATGGAATACGATACAAACAAAGATAAAAGTAGACCTCTGTGACAATCAAAATATTTGGAGTAAGAGTGTTGCTTTCGGTACATTTGATCCATGTCACTTGTTTTGAAATCTTTTGGCAAAAGTTTTGTCAGATTTCTACAATTTTTTTTTTTTTTTACAGCAACTATTCATTTTCCGTGAGAGAAGATAGAACTAGTTCATCCCATCATGGAATACGATACAAACAAAGATACAAGTAGACCTCTGTGACAATCAAAATATTTGGAGTAAGAGTGTTGCTTTCGGTACATTCATTTCTTTCGTAGTTCAAATATTACAACTAGAACATTATTATAAGGTTGTTAAAATGGAGTTTAGTGACCAGATACTGGTCTTGTTTTGCGCCTGTGTCGTAAAGAAATACATTTAGCAAATGCTGCTTTAAAGTTCTAGGTCCGCATACCTGAACCGTGGTGACAGTCGATGTCCTAGGCCCAGGCCCACGCCCGTCGGTGTTCATGGCGTCGACATCCGACCTGGAAAATCATGAGGATTTTTCTTTCCAGACCTTAGGGCCTCGGCTTAGCTTTCCCGGACTACGAGACACAAGTGGTCAATGTTATGACATGGGTGCCAAGGGGGTTAGTTTCATAGTTATCTATGGCCGGAAAAAAGAATTTTTTTTAAAGAACGCCGATGATATACATTCAATTTAGTTAACTCGCGACACAAACAGAGACACCAACATAGACATCAACATAGACATCAACATAGACATCAACATAGACATCAACATAGACATTAACATAGACATCAACATAGACATCAACACAGACAACAACAGGGCATAACACATAGATCAACATAGACATCAACATAGACATCAACATAGACATCAACATAGACATTAACACAAAAGTCAACACAGACATCAACACAGGCATCAACACAGACATCAAGACAGACATCAACAAAGGCATCAACATCGACAATAACACTGATATCAACACAAGCATCAACACAAGCATTAACATAAGCATCAACATAGATATAAACATAGATATCAAAATTGACATCAACATAGATATCAACACAGACTTCAAGATAGACCTCAACACACACACATCAACACAGGCATCAACATATACATCAACACAGGCATGAACACAGACAAGAATTTAGACATTAACATAGATATCAATATTTACACTGACACAGACATTAACACAGAAATCAACATAGACATGAACAAAAACATCAACACAGACAAGAACAGAGACATCAACTCAGGCATGAACAGATGCATCAACACATACGTTAACACAGACATCAACTTAGACATAAACATATTAATCAACACAGACATCAGCACAGGCATCCATACCGACATCAACATAGGCATAAACATAAACATCAACACAAAAATCAACACAGGCATCAACATAGACATCAACATAGACATCAACATAGATATCAACATAGGCAGAAATATAACACAGAAATTTACATAAACATCAACACAGACAACTACACAGACATCAACACAGACATCAACAGAGACATCAACGTAGCCATCAACACAGGCATCAACATAGAAATCATCATAGAGACCTGAGTCCAAGTAGTTGGGTTCTTTATAAATGCTTTATAAGTGCTTTATAATTCTTTATAGCAGTGGTTCTCAACCTTCCTAATGCCGCGACCCTTTAACACAGTTTCTCATGTTGTGGCGACCCCCAACCACATTTTTTTTTCGTTGATGCTTCACAACTGTAAAGTACATGGGTTTTTCCGGTGGTCTTAGGCGACCCCTGTGAAAGGGTCGTTCGACCCTGAAAGGGGTCGCGACCCACAGGTTGAGAACCGCTGCTTTATAGCATCACATCAGCTGGTTACTACCTACGTAGCAGTCGCAACCTCCAGGTCCGTCCAGAAAAATTGTAATCGATTTTGCATACAATGTATTGTTATAGTGTGTTGGGCGGGGGAACACTACAAACAAATAAAACATTTCAGTGTTCTCTTCAATACTGGGACTGTTTGGCTCAGGTGTGACAAAAAGATAATCTTAGTTGTTACTTGGTTGGTTTGTAAATAAGTCATACAAATAGCTAGTGCATGGTGGATTGGCTTTATTTGGACAAGTACGGGTAATCTAACAATTAGTATTTGTTTAAATTTTTATGTAAATCAAGACAAATTTCTTGGCTTAAAAAACAGCAGCATACTGACACCTTATTTTTGCGATTATTATTGTTATTATTATTGTTGTTATTATTATTAATAAGGTGGTTTTATTTAGCGCAGTAGCCAAGCCTAGGGCGCAGTAGCCAAGCCTAGGGCTAAGTTCACTGCGCTTCATATAAAAATTAGCAGATACAGAAAATTATACATTTGAAAACAACAAATGGTAAAAAGCCTGACCTCACCCGTCCAAGTTCTATTTACTGTCCAGTCATGGACAGCACAAAACAGCATCGAGTGTTGTTTATCAGTTAGAAAAAAAAAAGGGGGGGGGGTGAGAATAAGTCGTTATAGTAGAGTTTGAAGAGATGGGTCTTGAGTGCAGTTTTAAAGGCTGGGATCCTGGGGATATTGCAGATGTGTCATGGGAGAGAATTCCAGTGTTTGATTTTTGTTTTTGTATTTTGTTTGTTTGTTGTTTTTTGGGGGGTAGGGGGAGAAAGAGAAAGATCGTTCACCATAGGTTTTAGTGCGTGTTCTGGGAACAGAAAGAACGCGCGTCGTCTGCGGAGGAACAAAGCTTTCGAAGGGGTTTGTCACAGATCAAATATTTAGATATCAATTTTGTTTCGGAAAATAAAAATAAAAAATAAATAAATAGTTAATCTCATAAAAATACACACCTCTTTACTTTTTGCCAAGTAACAACAAAAATATATTTTCATTTTAATAAAAAGCAAATATTATCCCATATTCATTTGTCAAAATTGACTTTTCAACTGGGTAAAATAATCGGGTTTTGATATTTTGGATATACTTATATAAATGTACCCAAGATTTGTTAACGCCATTGATTTTCTTAATCGGTAAACATTATGTTGATTTGTAAAAAGAGAATTTAACATCTCTTTTTTTTCACAAATGTAATACCATAGGATTTAAATATATTGTCATCCACGTAAAAAGTACACATCCCTTTTCCTATCTCCGATATGTATGTACCTAAGAGGGTTAATAATTAATCAAATTAATTCCTTAATTTTGGGACGTATCTTGTATTGCCTTGGGCAAAATGAACATACCAATATTTGTAAAAAGAGAATGCAACATCTCCTTTTTCTCCAATGTAATTCCGTAGGATTTAAATATATTGTCATCCACTTTAAAATGTACACATCCAATTTTCTACCTCCGACATGTATTTACCCAAGAAGGTTAATTATTTATCAAATGCATTCCTTTATTTTGAGACGTATCTTGTGCTGCCTGGGGCAAAGTGACCAAGCCCTCCCCCACCCATATTTAAATAAATAAAAAAATCTTCCACCGGATTGTAGCCCCTTCCATACCTAAACCAACATCTTTAGCACTTCATATGATTCGTTCTTATTTGTATGAGGCATAAGTAGATTAGTGAAAGCTATTTGGCTATGGAGTTGCACTGCACTGCTTGACTTAAACCGCATCTTATTAGAATTATATTTAAAGGTTAGTTTTTATTACGTTATAAATTTAATAAAAGTATATTTTTGAAATCAAAACAGGCAAAACTTTTTAAACGTAAAAATATACAAAGCAAAAATGTGTGTGTGTTTTATTAACAATTTAAAAAGCAATCAATTGTATTTATTAATTTTACTTTTAGAAGGGAAAATACATTATCAGTTTTGTCACGCGCGGTTATTAAATTTAAAGAAACCTAAGAGTTTTGGCGAACTAGGCTATTCGCGCTATGACGTCATTTGCAGACTTCCGGTTAGATGGGATTAGTGTACATGTTTCTTCTTCTTCTTCTATATCTTTTTTTTTTGTTGATGAGGAATATTTCTTTGACTATGACATTATTAGTCAAGTAAATCCTCAACAAACTGTGATGTATAATCTAAAATGTCCCCATTGCTGGTCAAGGGATGAGCCAAATGTCACCATTGCTGGTCAAGGGATGAGCCAAATGTCACCATTGCTGGTCAAGGGATGAGCCAAATGTCACCATAGCTGGTCAAGGGATGAGCCAAATGTCACCATAGCTGGTCAAGGGATGAGCCAAATGTCACCATAGCTGGTCAAGGGATGAGCCAAATGTCACCATAGCTGGTCAAGGGATGAGCCAAAAGTCACTGTCTTCAATATGTTTAGCTAATTATGTGATTTCGGGGTTTGTGCTGCATTGTTGATATTCGGCGCCATTTTTGTTACCACTTCCTGTCTTACTTGAAGCGTAGCAAAACTCTATTCCTGTGTGTGCGCTCAGACTGAAACACACGGAGTGACTTGTGGTATGTTCAAATACAATATTACACTATATACAATTGTGGTAACGGCTCTGGTAAATAAATTGATCATCTGTGATGCCGAGAGACCAGAAATAGGCCTTATATATGACAATTTGAACTTCAGTAGGAAGACAATTTTCCGCATAGCTGGTACTGCTCACTGTGTGTTTATAGACATTGTACATAGAGCATCTCGATCATGCTCTACTCAGAGGCCCTTAGGCCGTCAGAGACTGGTACTATTGTATCTGGCCTGCATCCTCCTGGAAAATTCGTACTCCAACCCTGGACCGAACGTTACTACTAGTGCTGGTGGTTCTCCCTTGCATACCCCATCATGTTCCAAATCCCAGTCATCATGGATCTGCGGAGCATGTGACCATGTTGTGCATGTGGAGGACAGAGGCGCTGCCTGTGAACAATGTGGGCAATGGTTCCATCGTCAATGCCAAAGGATCGACACATCTAATTACAACCAACATGCTAAAAATTCTGACGTGCCATGGCACTGTACTGTCTGCGGCTGTCAGATTAGCAAGTCTGTGTTCGACCCACATAGTGCAGGGACAGACTATACCTTCCCAGATTTCTCTCTGAATCACTCAATCTCCACACCAAGAGACTTTCGAAGTTTTCAATCACCACACTGCTCTACTCCTATGCGCTGCAGTCAACAAGACAAATGGAGTTACAAGCCATTGCGCATATTGAATGTAAACTTCCAGTCTGCAAGTGGTAAGAGAGTAGAGATAGCAAACCTAATTAACAGCCTAAAACCCGACGTCATCTTGGGCTCAGAAACATGGCTGAATCCCTCCATAGCAAACGCAGAGGTTGTACCAGATATGTACAAATTATTCCGTCGAGACAGAAAAGACAGAGGAGGAGGAGTGCTTGTTGCTGTCCATCACAACCTGGACTGCCACGCTGTTCCAAAACTCAATGTTGACGACTGCGAACTCCTGTGGGTAAAATTGAAACTAAAGGGTAGACGCACACTTTACGCGTGTGCCTATTACTGACCAAACACGGCAGATGAACCAAGCCTGAGGAGGTTCGAGGTATCGCTTCACAGAGCAACACAGTCAACAAACGCTTTTCTCCTTGTATGGGGGGGGGGGTATTTCAACTTTCCTGGTTGGAATTGGCAGATGCCTGCCTTGAAGCCCAAGTCCCCATACCCTGTTCTACACTCAGAATTCATGGAGATAATTAACAACAATTTTTTCTCCTTGTATGGGGGGGGGGTATTTCAACTTTCCTGGTTGGAATTGGCAGATGCCTGCCTTGAAGCCCAAGTCCCCATACCCTGTTCTACACTCAGAATTCATGGAGATAATTAACAACAATGGTCTGGAACAGCTGGTTAAAGAACCCACGAGGGGGGGGGGGGACACTCTTGACCTATTCCTCACCAATTGTCCACATCGTGTCCCAAAAGTTGAGGTCATCCCCGGGATTTCGGACCACAGCATTCCTTATTGTGAATTTCAAGTCAACACACTAAAAATGAAACAAATCATTCGAGAAATCCCAATTTATGCGAAGGCAGACTGGGTTGGCCTAAGGATTGCAACCACAGAGCTAAGCTCAAACATACAGGGGATTCAAGGTAGAGCGACAACAGACGAGCTGTGGGTGAAGTTCAAGACAACAATCACTGATGCAGTGAAGAAATTCATACCACACAAGATCACCAAACCTAGGATAAATCAGCCATTGGTCACGGCTGAAATCCGTAGGCTCATCCACAGGAGAGACCGCCAATACAAACGTATGAAGAAAAATGGCTCGATTGAACTGAGAGAGGAGGTACTGAGACTCCGCCGAACCATTCAACGCTTATTGCGTAGATCGTATTGGAACTACATGAACGGCATCTTCTCAGAGGAAGACACCCCGACCAAGGATGTCAAGAACAAGCGCTTCTGGAGCTATGTGAAGCACCAAAAGTCCTCAAACGCTGGAGTTTCCCCCTTGAGGCGGGATGGCCAGTTGACATCTGACCCAAAAGCACAGGCTGACATACTCAATCAGCAGTTCCAGTCTGTCTTTGGTGACGGTAGAGAGTACTCTGAGACTGAGTTCCTTCTGAAGACCAAAATGATGAACAGAGCCTACCCTATCATGGGAGATATCCAGATATCAGAACAAGGTGTGTTTGCCCTCCTCAATACCATTAACCCTTACAAAGCATGTGGTCCTGACAACATCAAACCACGAGTGCTCAAAGAATTAGCCAAAGAAATCGCTCCTGCACTGACAATCCTCTTCCAATCGTCACTATGCACAGGAAATGTTCCAGCAGACTGGAGAACAGCGCATGGAGCATTCCGCCCTGCCAACTATCGTCCGATATCCCTCACCAGCGTCGTCTGCAAACTGTTGGAGCACATAATCGTAAGCACAGTCATGAAGCATCTTGAAAGCCAAAATATACTCAATGACTGTCAACATGGCTTCCGAGTCAATAGATCATGTGAGACCCAGCTTCTCGAATTTGTAGAAGACTTGATGACCAATCTGGAGAACCACAAGCAGACTGACGTGCTAGTAATGGACTTCGCAAAAGCATTTGACCGGGTGAATCATAGTTTGCTTCTACACAAACTCCAGATATATGGGATTCAAGGCACCACTAAAACATGGATCTCTAGCTTCCTCAGCCACCGACGCCAAGCAGTAGTGGTGGGCGGTACAAGCTCCTCCTTTGTCAATGTGAAGTCAGGGGTCCCCCAGGGATCAGTCCTGGGCCCCTGTTTGTTCCTAGCATACATTAATGACCTACCGGAGAAACTGACATCACAGGCAAGACTGTTTGCAGATGACACAGCAGTGTATAGGACGATCGCCAACAGATCTGACCAGGACCAGCTACAACAGGATCTCAATCTGTTAGCTGAGTGGGAGATGAGCTGGGACATGGAATTTCACCCTGCCAAGTGCCAGACACTATCAATCTCTAGAAGTTGTACTCCTCTACACTACCAATACAAACTGCACGGCCATATTCTTGAGCAAGTTTCCTCCGTAAAGTACCTGGGTGTTACCATTCAAAGAGAGGTCCGCTGGGACGAGCATATTAACAATGTATGTAACCAAGCAAACAAGACCCTAGGGTTCTTAAGGCGAAATCTAAAGATTGGCAACTCCTGTGTGAAAGAAAGAGCATATAAAGCCTTTATCCGTCCGATTTTAGATTATGCATCTTCAGTCTGGAACCCATTTACACAGAAGAGCATTGACAGGTTGGAGGCGGTCCAGCGACGAGCAGCACGCTTTGTCCTAAACCGCTACAGGAATACCTCTAGTGTTGGCAGCATGCTAGAAACACTAGGCTGGTCACCATTGGAGAAACGACGACGACAATCCAGGCTCTCCATGATGAACAAGATAAATAATGGGCTGGTCCACTGTTCCAGTATTAAACAGAAACTCGTCCCTCTCCCCCATAGACAGCGACGAGGCCATGACAGGCAATTCAGGCTCATACCAGCAAGAAGCCAGTGTAGGAGCTGCTCATTCCTGCCCAAGACAATCAGGGACTTGAACCATCTTTCAAAAGGAACGGTTGACGTGACAACACTAGACACATTTGTGTCTATTGCCTCAAGCCTTCAAACCCCTATTGCATGATTCCCTCACAAAGTGGCACTGGAAATCAGTGAAATTTCCTCATCAACACCAGTAACAGAAACATTGCAAATCCCGTCTACGTGCATAGGAGCCAAAATGATCAATAAATTGATCGTGGGCCCTTAAGATACAGAAGAAGAATTTTAATTTTAATTCGTAATATTAACAACGCACTAAAAGACGCACTAAAAGACGCACTAAAAGACGCACTAAACACGACCGATGCTTGGGTTTTCCCGATACATGTGATTACGGTGTAATTCTTTAATTTGTTTATTTTTTCATAACTTTCAAACACATATAAAATTCTTAAAATAGTTCCTTAGTTGATACTTTCAATGTATTTTGTAATTTATAATAAAAATACTTAAACTTTTACTAAAATAAAAGCAGATTTAGAATATTTTTTGCGCATTTACATTTATTCAATTTCCGTAAAAAAAAAAGAAAATAACTATGATTGTTTTTAGGAATCAGAACGTACTTAAATCCTATCTCCCTTTTAGCGTTATGTTACTCTAGCTCATTCTTATATCTACCATCAGGGCCGTGTATGGATGTGGGTAGGGGGCGACGGCACCGGGCAACATTTTCAAAGACGACAAGATCGTCATTTTTTGGGCAGTGTGCTAAGTTCAGTCTTTGCCCAGTTAACAACTTTATCTTGCCACGGTCTCTGAATAGCACACCATGGCCCTTAACACTAAAACCATGGCCCTGAAAAGTAAAACCATGGCCCTGAACAGTAAAACCATGGCCCTGAACAGTAAAACCATTGCCCTGAACAGTAAAACCATGGCCCTGAACAGTAAAACCATGGCCCTGAACAGTAAAACCATGGCCTGAACAGTAAAACCATGGCCCTGAACAGTAAAACACCGACCCTGAACAGTAAAACCATGGCCCTGAAAAGTAAAACCATTGCCCTGAACAGTAAAACCATGGCCATGAACAGTAAAACCATGGCCCTGAACAGTAAAACCATGGCCCTGAACAGTAAAACCATGGCCCTGAACAGTAAAACACCGGCCCTGAACAGTAAAATCACGGCCCTGAACAGTAAAACCATGGCCCTGAACAGTAAAGCCATGGCCCTGAACAGTAAAACCATGGCCCTGAACAGTAAAACATCGGCCCTGAACAGTAAAACATCGGCCCTGAACAGTAAAACAACGGCCCTGTATATTAAAACCAACATTTTTATTTTGTCCTTATGTTTTTCAGAGCATGAGTTTCAGAGCACCATTTCAGTCGGTGGCTGTGGCAGCTGTTGCAGTATTATTTGCACTGAGTGAGAAATTAGAGTTTGGAAAATTGTTTTCTGGTTGTGCTACTCGTGTCGTTGAATGTCTTGTCCGTCTTTGTCAAATACACCATTATAACTGTTTTAATGTCTTCTTTGTAGTGGCTTACAATAGTTTATATTTTTACAATCGTTTGCATGTCTTATTTGTAGCGGCAGATTCTAGTTTATATTTTTGATGACGTTATGGTTCTAATGTTTGTTTAGTTTTTTTTCTTTTTATTGTGAATGTAATTATGAAATAAAAGTATGTGCATTTTGCGATTATGTTTATAAATGTGTGCATGCATTGAATGTAGCTGTTTGTATGTATTATATGAATTTGTGTGTGTGATAATGTTTGTCACATCAACATAGAACCTGTAACATATTGTTACTTAATTGCGTTTTCACTTAATTCACTCTCGTCTTAGTGGAACTACATCCACATCTAAAATTAGTAACAAATTAAATTCATTTTCTACCAATCGAAATTCAGCATTTTAATATGGATTTAAAAATAAGATGAAATAAGACGATATAAGATGAACTTTATTTATTTTTTTAAAAAACATTAAAACACAACTGTTTATTTGACTTGTTAATTGTTAATGCGAGTTGTTGGGGACGTAGTGTTGCTAGATGTTCATATCCCCGTTGGTCACGCACCTCCGATAGGCAAACAATTTGACACTGATGTCATTGTAGGGTGCTCGCACTGAGATCACATGGCCACAGGGGGCGTCCAATGGTGGACACAAACAGGTGAACATGTATATGTGCATTGGAAAACATCCACCCATCCACCCCAGTGGCGCTATAACTTATTTCGGGGTGCTTTGGCCTCTCACACCATTTTCTTCCAAAGTGATGCTTTTCTTTTCCATGCTTTGTTTCCCAGCTGTTGTAGATTTTTGTTCCACATCAACCCTCCATCTAAGCCTAGCCGTTTTCCTCTTGGGTTTTGGTGGTGCACCCTCTTCCCTCCTCTGTCATTTGGCATTCTCTCTAAGTGTTCCGTCCAACGTACCCTTACTCCCCCCCCCCTCCCACTTTTTTATTTTAAATCTCCGCTACTAGTTTAGGACCCTGATAGAGACTACACAATTCCTGGCTCCTATTCCCCTACCATATTCATCCTTTCATTTTTCTCTAGATATTTAAAAACTTCCCATATGTTATTTAAAATTTCTACCATTGGTCTCCTACCTAGTGTCTGCCGCACCGGACCAGACCATCAGACGTCGACGTAGCGCATCGACATTATGTAGGGCGATGATGGAGTACACAGACAGAGATTGCCTCGAGTACCTAAACTACGGGTGTTTCTGCGGACCGGGAGGAACTGGGGACACTCCCAAAGACGACGTGGATCAGTAAGAGCTTGATAAGCACAGTGATATCATGGCTTTTAAAAGTTCATTAATGAAAAGTGGATTAGTAATTGCATGATAACTACAGTGGTATCATGGCTTTAAAAAGTCCATTAATGAAAAGTGGATTAGTAATTGCATGATAACTACAGTGGTATCATGGCTTTTAAAAGTTCATTAATGAAAAGTGGATTAGTAATTGCATGATAACTACAGTGATATCATGGCTTTAAAAGTTCATTAATGAAAAGTGGATTAGTAATTGCATGATAACTACAGTGGTATCATGGCTTTTAAAAGTTCATTAATGAAAAGTGGATTAGTAATTGCATGATAACTACAGTGGTATCATGGCTTTAAAAGTTCATTAATGAAAAGTGGATTAGTAATTGCATGATAACTACAGTGGTATCATGGCTTTTAAAAGTTCATTAATGAAAAGTGGATTAGTAATTGCATGATAACTACAGTGGTATCATGGTTTTTATCAGTTCATTAATGAAACGTGGATCAGTAACTACTCAATAAGTACAATGATATCATGGTTTTGCAAGTTTCATTAATTAATTAATTAATTAATGAAAGGGAATGGCTTTTACCTTAGCTCATCCCATTTGATGTATATACGAATAACATACAATGTCCCATGACGACATCACATCAGTGGTCATGTCATCTAATCTGTCACCTTCCCACCAGTCATGACATTTAATCAGTCACCTTCAATATGTCACGTTCCCCCATTCTTGTCATCTAATCTGTCACGTTCCCCCATTCTTGTCATCTAATCTGTCACGTTCTCCAATTCCTGTCATCTAATCTGCCACGTTCTCCCATTCATGTCATATAATCTGTCACGTTCACCCATTCATGTCATCTTATATGCCACATTCCCCCATTCATGTCATTTAATATGTCACATTCCCCCATTCATGTCATCTTATATGCCACATTCCCCCATTCATGTCATTTAATATGTCATATTCCCCCATTCATGTCATCTAATCTGTCACGTTCCCCCATTCATGTCATATAATCTGTCACGCCCCCCCCCCGCCCTAAGGTGCTGCTACCAACACGACGAATGCTATGGCAGTGTGCACGGCTGCGATTTCATTATATATTTCGTCTATAATAAAATACAATGTTCTGGAGGGAGCTGTAACTGCACTGGTAAAACACAAGGCGTTATTCTATTCTTGATGTATGTCAATATATTTCTATAAGAATGAACTAGGTTGACCGTAACGCTACAGAAACGAATTTGAAGACGTTCGGACTTTTAAAAACCATTGCAGTGATTTTCTGCCGTCAGTTCAGATTGCCATTAGTTCAGATTGCCATTAGTTCAGATTGACATCAATTCAGATTGCCATCAGTTCAGAATGCCATCAGTTCAGATTGCTATCTGTTCATACTCCCATCAGTTCAGATTGTCAAAGCTTCAGATCGCCACAAAGCATGTCACATTCAGAAAAGGCAGCCTTGCAGGACAATTGTTATATCTGGAAAGGGGATGACACCAACCCTTGTTCTGCAGCTGCTCGTGACCGCAAGTACCGACATTTAATAATGTGTGCGAGTTAAACAGCATGGCCCTCAGACAATAAGACAAATTTGCTCTTAGATAGTAAGACGATGTGGCCCTCAGTCAGTAAGACAATATGGCTCTCAGTCATTAAGACAATAGGGCTCTCAGTCAGTAAGACAATATCGCCCTCAGTCAGTAGGATAATATGGCTCTCAGTCAGTAATGAAATATGGCACTCATTTAGAAAGACAATATGGCCCTCACTCAGTAAGACAATATGGCCCTCACTCAGTAAGACAATATGGCCCTCACTCAGTAAGACAATATGGCCCTCACTCAGTAAGACAATATGGCCCTCACTCAGTAAGACAATATGGCCCTCACTCAGTAAGACAATATGGCCCTCACTCAGTAAGACAATATGGCCCTCACTCAGTAAGACAATATGGCCCTCACTCAGTAAGACAATATGGCCCTCTCTCAGTAAGACAATATGGCCCTCAGTCAGTCAAACAATATGGCCCTCACTCAATAAGACAATATATCTCTCAGACAGTAAGACAAAATGTCTCTCAGTAAGAAAATATGTCTTTCAGACAGTAAGACAATATGACTCTCAGACAGTAAGATAAAATGACTCTCAGACAGTAAGATAAAACGGCTCTCAGGCAGTATGACCTTATGGCCCTCTTTCGAAACGACCATTCGTCTCTCAGACCGTAAGACAATATGTCCCTCTGTCAGTAAGAGATATGGCCCCCATTCAGTAAGACCATATGGCCTTCAGACAGTAAAACCATATGGCTCTCAGACAGTTAATCATATGGCCCTCAGTGAGTAAGTTCATTATGTCCTTCAGTAAGTAAGACCATATGGCCCTAACAAACTGCCAATTTCTCCTCATATTTCAGACGAAGACCAGACCGGATGCCCGTACAAGCTCTGCCGGTGTGACGTAGTCTTCGCTGAATGTCTGAAAGAGGCGGAGTTCAATGAATCGTTGACAAACTACAACAAAAAGAACTGCGTCCAGCAGGTGGACCTGAGTACTGTGTCTAACAGGTAGACCTGAGTACTGCGTCCAGCAGGTAGACCTGTGGCCATGTGCGATGTAAATGTATCGCCTTAAAGAAATCGGATTTAAACCAAAACAATTGTTTTTTTAGAAATTGAAAATATTTGATAACACTGTTTTTCCATTGAGAGTAAAAAAAAAATCATAATAAACTTGATTTAACAAATAGAAATTTGCTTTATGCTGCTGTACGAAATTTATTTTCAGTATCTATAACAAATTTAAAAAAAAAAAAAAAAAAATGTAAGACATTGACAAATTTGGACCATCTTAAACTTAAAAAAAAAATAATAATAAAATTGATTTAACAAATAGAAATTTGCTTTATGCTGCTTTACGAAATTTATTTTCAGTAACTATAAAAAATTTAAAAAAAAAAAAAAAAAATGTAAGACATTGACAAATTTGGACCATCTTAAACTTGATTATTTTACCTAGGAGGATCTAATCATAATTAAGCTAATGCCCTAGTCATCTTTTTCCAAAACCAAATAATTAGCAATCCTGTGTTCTCTCCAGTGCAGTTATTAAATTAAAACCCATTAAAAGTTGAATCTAAAACACGGTAACACTTGCTGGTCAATCCGAACGAATTACAGCATAACTTGAATGTTGAACCTTCTTTTTTTTTTTTGGTACCGTACCTGCCATTCGATTTTTTGGGGGGTGGAGATGGATATACTGATGAAATAACTTATATTAGTTATTTTTTAGTGCAAAGCTATATATGTTTTATGTTTGAATTCAAATCAACCACACAGATAGGTATTCTCATTCAACTACATTTTTTTTTTTAACTAGCTGATATACCCGGCTTTCCCCGGGATTACATTGACTCACGTGTAACACAACAGCCCGGCCCATGAGATGACATTTAATTTATGACTTGAAGGGGGCACTTTAAAAAAATGAAAAAGAAAAGCTTACCAACCGTGCATCGATTGAGGACAGCGGTCCTTAAGAGGCAACAGTAACCAGTTATGCGTTGGAAGGGGGCCGTTAATCTTCAAAAGTGGAATCGTTAAAATTAAAATGTTTTATCAAAGTTTGTTGGTACTGCCTTCTGTGATTATTATATTGGTGCCCAAAACTTAATAAGAAATTGAGATGTTGGTGCCCCAACCTAATAAAATATTTGAGATATTGGTGCCCCAACCTCGTAAGAAATTGAGATATTGATGCCCCAACCTTATAAGAAATGGAGATAATGAGATATTGGTGCAATAAACTCATAAGAAATTCAGATAACGGCACTCCAGACTCATAAAAAATTTACATATTGGTGCCCAAGGCTCATAAGAAATTCAGATAATGGCACTCCAGACTCATAAAAAATTTACATATTGGTGCCCAAGGCTCATAAGAAATTGACATATTGGTGCCTGAATCTCATAAGAAATTGAGATAAAGGTGCCTCAACCTCATACGAAATTGACATATTATTTGACAAGGATTTTTGTTCCACGGTATCCATCTGGCGGCTTAAACGCAGTCCCTTATTTATGATCCGTTATCTTGTCAGGAGCGTCATACCTAAGCCTTGATGATAAATATTCGAAGTAACATTTTATAAGGTGTCTCATTCATCTTGTTAATATATAACAGAGTTATAACCATTTTAACTACATAAATTGGGGGACATGACCCCCCCCCCCCCCCAAGGAA